AATGACGGAAATTCATCGTTCCTCCCATGGACCAAGTGGTCTACCATTTATTACAGCAATTGCCAAGATAGCTGGCAATTCTTTCCACTCAGCTGCCAACTACCCCTGAGAGACAGGCCAGTACTAGAATACTAGAAGCCAGGATATCTTGGAGCCCAAAGGATTCCTACTCCAGAGTATCAGCCCAGAATGAGAGAAGCCCGATAATCTTTGAAGCCCAAGAAGATCCCACCCTTATGCCCATGATGAGGATACCTTTCGAGTCCAAAAAGGTTCCCGCCAAGATTCTCACGATGATTGAATGATGCCCATCAGTCGACATTCGCTACCACAAGAAGCCAGCAGTTTCCTCTGTTCAGCTGCCAACTACCTCGAAAAACAGTCTAGGGAATCTTGAATCCCAAAGGATTTCATCCCAATGCCCAGGACAAGGATACCTTCGAGCCCAAAATGATCCTGCCGAACTGTCCATGACGATTGACCGATGCCATTGCCCAATCGTCATTCTACTCCCGAGCTGCCAGAAGTCCCACCAAGAAGAGTCTGATTAAAATGCTTTAGTTGAATAGCCAGTGCTGGACTAAGTAAAAGCGTGAGTGTGCATTGTTGAACCTAAACTTCTGAGTGTGTGAACTCAATTTTCGAGATGTATTGTTTTTTGTGATATATGTATTATAGGTTTATGTTCTCCTCGATATCTTTCGGTAGGTAGTAATTTCGAAACTGGGGTCCAGTTTTCTCGGAGAGAGGGGACATGTCACGAGTAGAACATACGGTATATCAGAAATTTCGAACCATGAGGGTTTTATGAACCTGAAGTTAATCAAATCATCCGTTGATATTGAATCATGAAAACTGACCAAGGAACTCTCATGAGAAACGTGCAAATCTGATGAATCGATGTATATAATTATTGGATGTGAAGGTTCCGAAGTAGGTCAGATCTGGGGCTACTCTTGACTTCACTAGAGCTCGTCGTAATGGTCATTATAATGTAATTTGTTTTCAGGTCTTTATATTCATTGTTGGTTATTCATATTTGTTATTGCCACCCATATTGTACCATGTAATGATGATATCGTTAAATATAGTCTCGTACTTTCAGTTATCCCTGAACTATTAGTGCCTATTCGAATATTACCTCTCGCAGACTATCAAGCCAATCGATATGGATAGAGAAACCATCTATTTTATCGTGACATAGCAAAAACAATCATTATATTGTGACAGAATTCCCAAAGATTTGAGTCATTCTACAGACCTTTGTCTAATTAGATCTCTTTCCAGAGCTAAGGCTTTCTCTCTTTCTTGAACAAATTGTTCTTTCAATGCTTCACATTGTTCTTGCATCTTCCTTGCGGCTTTCAATTCCAAATTTTCAATTTCTTTTTGATGCAAAAATCTCAAATTTGAAATTTCTCGCTGTTGTCTATGTTCCATATTCTGAATCTCAGGCTCGATACTTCTCACCGTTAGTTCCTGTAATAAAAAATATATTAACTTTCAAGTCAGGCAGAAGAAGAGTTCAAAAACTTTTGTTCTTGATATCCATGATATTGTTCAAGAGTGGCATGAACTATATCATATCAAAATGTAATCGTGTTTTGTTCATCAAAAAAGTTGATGAAAGTTCAAATCTCATGATGAAGGGCAATCGATATTAAAAAGTTTGATGTTGCATCATACTGGTTAAAGGTAATTGAGAAACAAAATAAAAATATTTTCAATGGTAAACTACTGAGTGTGATACATGTGACAAATACCTCAAAAATTCAACGGAATTTTTGAAAACGGGAAAGAACTGACAGGTCAACCATGCCTACAAAAATTGATTCAATACTCTGATATGATACTTAGATGTCTAAGGCCCTTGTACCCATGAGAATCTGAATTGAACCAGAACCAGACGAAAATGAGCGGGTGACGAATGGAATCAAAGTTAGGGGTATATTGATGAGGATAGAAAATCAAAGAAACTGTATTCGTTGTATCTGCGATAAAGATTTGTCAGACTCTTATCGTGCAATGATATTTCAGCATTGGTACTGATATAACAACTGTAGAAGAATAAAATATCAGGATAGGGTAACTGGAACCGATGCCATGAGTATTCTTGAGAAATTCTTCGTCTCTCTCCATTTGGGCCGTCTTCTTTTGTTTCTCATGGCGATTCTTCATTCCACCAAGAGATTCTATTTCAATGTGGAAATGAGACACATTATTGATCACGGCTTCCGTGTGACTAGGTCAGGTCGGTTTGTTAGGGAGGTAAGAAATATTGAATGTGATTCAGCGAATGATATTCGATATATTCCGGATATCACGACCTTATAGCAGGAAGCAGGGTGTGAAGCACAGGATGATATGGGTTTTATCTCCTTTTGAACACATGGCATGATTCTGGACTAGTATCTTCAACTCTCAGAACTGTTAACTAGATGAATCAGTAGAAAAAGCACCATTCATCGTCAAGGAGCATTCAAAAGTCTCGAAATTCAGTCTGGAATTCACGGTTTGGGAATCAAGTAGACACTTATTTTGTTGGTTGAGGCAACCGAGGGATCTCCTCTGCTTCGGAGCCTGAGTAACCAATGCACCTAAAGGTGGAGACAGGATGCAAGTGATACCTTGTGTATTTTCCTGGGCATCTATAGGAGCCAACAGCTCAGAATATTTGGCAGAATCCCCGCTGCCAACAGAGCGAGTCCTCACTAGGCTCACTGGTCTAGATAGCTCGTGATCCTGACTTCTGACAGGACGTCTCAGGGAGTCCAGACTCCAAGTGTGTTGTAGAGGATTCATCATTCCTATGGATTTTTCTCGCTTTGGAACTTTGGGAACTAAAAGTAGGAGATTCATGTGACCACCACATTCCGCCGCCGTCAAAGTGATGTAAGCGACCTTGAACGTGGGTGGTCTTGAGTGTTTGACGACGTGACCTCCAAAAGGCTCTGTTTATTCATTCCGAGTACATGGGTACCTTCGTAGGCTGATGCATAAAACTATTTTTTCTCTTTTCGGTAATAGAAAGAGTTCCTCGTACTTTCACACTCTTGACTGTCTATCGATTTCTCATTGTTTTCGCTGTAAGAAGTCTACTTTGAATATTTTCTCGTCAATCCCACGAATAGCAAATTAGGTCTATGGTTGGAATGACATCAACCGTGTACAATAGTTGGCTCAACGAGCTGATGTTCATATGTTGAATTGAATATTTGTTGCCTTGGAGCATGTGGTATCAGTTGCGGCAACGGAAGTCTGTTTGTGAGCCTGTGAACATACTTGTTCGCGGTCGCTGCTGTAGAAGATTATTTTTTCAATATCCCCCAACTCCAACCTCATTTCTATACTATATAACTAGGTGAACTCTAGATTTGAGAATACGAATTTCAAGCGATTCGTTCAGTGAAGATATAAGTATTGAAATAATATTGTACAATTTTCACATGGGAACGTGGAATATGTGTCGTGTGAGTTGGAATATTTTTATATATTCATCATACCTTGCTATTGTTGTGCAATTCGCGATTTTTCAAAAAAAAAATTTTTGTAGTACATGCATTTGATAAAGACTCCATTCATTTAACAGATATCTACATGGACGATGCTCCTCTGGAATATCAACAATTGTTCCTCCCTTGGCAGTCCCCGTGAGATTGACCCGTCGAGTTGAGGCTTCGCACCCTACGGTCACTCTGGAGACCTGCAGAACATCTCTTTCCAAAGACTCGTTCATTCAAGGAACAGCGAGGCTCTGGAACACATTGCCAAGGAACGTGTTTCCCGAGGCAAATAACCCGCAGAAATTTGAAAAGAACACCAATTCCTACCTTATTCTCCTTGGTTCTCTCTCTGAACAATACAGAAGATCCCTTCTCGTGAAAACCAGAACATAAAAAAAAAGATAATCAACCGTCATGCTGAAGTCATCCAATCAATATTGTGATCGTGATCGTGATCGTGGGCCATCCTCATAATATTGAAAGGATATTTCGTTGCGTTACTAGTTTCGAAATAAGGGTTTGTGCATTATTATGCGATGAACGTGATGACGCTACTTCCGAATGTTGGCTTCCAAAACGTATTTCAGATGCTTTGAGCAAACGTTATATCGAAGTTATGAATTCAGAGAATGGAGGATATAGCCTGATATACACAGGTCAGAATGAAGCAACATATGCCGTGGCAATATCGGGGTCTTAGATTAGATTTAATAGACGATAATAATATTCTTTCTATCCTAGATAGATAGATTATTTATATCGAATACGAAAGGGTAGAAATAGTATTCAGAAATTGTTACTCACCCATCACATATGAGTGATCGCTCACTATATAATAATGATTATTGAAGGAATAAAGTCAACCTGTCAGACGAGATGTGTATGTTGATATCGTATGTTCGTTTCAGATACCAGACCTACACAATGTTGATGCACTATTCAAGCCAGGAAAGGGATTAGGAAGAAGCTATTGATACTGGAATGGGAAGGATAGCATGTGAATGTAGCGATCTGAAAATGAATGCTTCATGTGAAGAATAATTATCAAATTATGTATTCTCAACGTTAATTCATAGTTAATTAATTGTTTTACTCGGACTTGTCTCTAACAAGATTTCAACATACGGTATTATAACATTTCTGGAAGATATATCTGAATGTCAAAAAATGATTCAATTCGTCAACTCGGAACACAATTTTGGAAATATATTTCAACTAGAGAGGCAACCGTGAGTAATGATGATAGTTAGATATTTGTACATTTAGCTCACATAGAATATTTCTAGGAATTTGAGTACTGCGTGATTTACTGCTCGAAGTGTATAAGTCTGGATTGTACAGCGTATTTGGAGTAATAAAAATAAAAATCTCTACGAGTGGTTTGTACTGAAAATCTGGCCAAGCTCTAGTTTTTAATTTCATCTATTTACAACAAGCTCAAATTCGGTAAGTTGCATTACTTTAGTTACTTACAATGAACCATATAGAGACGAAAGGATGGTTGAATGTACAGGATGTGAGAAATGGTGCTGTTACGAGTGTGTGAATGTAAATAGCTCCGATGATGTAGCCGCCAAAGAATCGTGGATGTGTTCATCATGTGAAGCAGCGACCAGAGTACCACAACCAGCACAGTTCCATGAAACTACATGCAGCAAGAAGAGTAGTTCTCTTTCAAGAAGCAAGAAAAGATCTTCAGTAATCAGCAGCAGAATTGAAATGAGGATGCAGCTAATTGAAGAAGGAAGAGAATTATTGCGAAAAGAGAGAGAATTAGCTAAAGAAGCAAGACAACTACTAGATTAAGAGTCAGATGATAGTCAAGAAATCAGTGACGAATAAATAAGAAAATCTGACCCTTTGGCCAAGAAAATGCTATTATTGCAGATTGATGAATGCTTAGAAAATAGGAAAGATAAGCAATATACTCGTTTGTCCAATCCTCAGCATACCACTGTTATGAATATACCTAATGGAGCTCAAAGTTCTCCTGGATTTCAACCAACTAATCAACAGCCATTTGCTTCTGCTTTTCCTCTCAATGATGAAAAACCAGTGTCTAATAACACAGTGAATGACATTGCTTTGACACCGCAACAATATGCAGCTAGGAAAACTATACCAAATGATCTCCCTATCTTCAATGGTAATCCGTCTGACTGGCCTCTGTTCATTAGTTGTTATGACAGATCTACTATGTTGTGTGGTTTCGATAATAATGAAAATTTATTGAGACTACAAAAATGTATTAGAGAATCTCCTAGGACTGCTGTCTCCAGTTTTCTTATACAACCTGGATGCGTGCCTCAGATAATATCTACGTTGAAGATTCTATACGGTAGACCAGAGCAAATCATAGAAGCACATATGAATATTTTTTTTTACCGCTCGGAGCGCACGTAAATGAATCTCCATAATGCTCAAAGAACATCGTGCGTTCCTAGGGAGGATAGGGACAGGAGGTAGGTATTGGAATTTTTTTTGAACTTTTGGAGATTATATGTTGTTGGGAATACTTCCACAGGCAATGAATTCCAGAGCCTAGCCGTTCTATGGATGAAGGAGTCTTGATAAAGTGCTGTTCGACATCTTTCGAGGTTGACAACGAAAGGATGTGCTGACTGGGCTTGTCCAGTTCGTCTGATTGGTATTGCTAGTGAAGGGATGATAGCAGAGATTTCCGAAGAACATTTCCCGTGGAAGTATCGATAGAAAAGTGAAATGTCGCTGACCTTTCTACGGTGTTTCAATGATGTCAAAGAGTGAGTGAGTGTGGCGTCACCCACCAGGCAAATGGCTCTTTTCTGGATAAAATCTATTATCCGCCGTCAACAATCACCCAGGATAGTGGAACTAAAAACACTAGTTGAATATTCTCTAGCTGTTAAAAACTTATGCGTCACTCTAGAAGTAGCTCAATTAAATGATTATTCAAACAATCCAATACTCATTCATGAACTCATTGAAAAACTCTCATCTCAGATCAAGGTTAATTGGGCCTTGCATCGAAGCTCACTACAAAACTTCAATAGTCTTGCTAGTTTTGCTGATTGGATGCTTATTACTGCTACCAACTCATGCACCGCTTTACCTACCCTTGTCATACCTGATCGAAATGAACAATTCGATCAAAATGAACGTACAAATGTTTATAATACTGATAACAATAGATCAGATGACATAGAATTAACTTGCAAATTAGGCAAAGGTAGGTGGAGCCAGGTTGCAGTATATCAACAATTCCAAAATTATCCTGTATCTAAAAAATGGAGAGTATTGAAGTCAATAAAATAATGCAGACTATGCTTGAAGAGACACAGATTCCCATGCAAGTATCCAGTCAAGTGTCACAAAAATCAATACCAGAGCAAGTATCATCCTCTTCTTCATGATAATGTAGTTAGGACCTCAAAAACTCAAGTATCGCAAGTTTCAAGTAATCGAGAACTTCAGTCTCAGTGTCCTCTGAAATCAACATGGCTCAAATATCTTCCCAATGTATCTGTTCCAGAATATTACCTGTGATTTTGAAGAATGGCAATAAAACAGTCAAAACGTTTGCATTCTTGAATGAAGGATCTTCAGTTACCCTGTTGAATGAAAATATTGCCAAAGAATTGAATTTACATGGAAACCAAGAGCAACTATGTTGTAGATGGACAGGGGATCAAGAACGATTAGAGAATAATTTCGCGAGGGTTCGTTTTTCGATAGCAGGAGACTTCCGAGGATAAGAACAATTCGATTCTCGTCCAGCACGTACAGTTGCTACTCTGAGCCTTCCACGACAATCACTCAATAGCAGGGAACTCAAGGAAACCTTTTCTCACCTAGAGAATCTTCCATTTGGATCATATGAGAATGCAAATACTCATTGGCTTGAATAACTGGGAACTTATCTTACCGCTTCGAGTGAAATAAGGCCAAGAAGAACAGCCTATAGCTGCGAAGTGTAGGCTAGGATGGACCGTCTTTGCATTATCACAGAAAGACTTAAAAAATACCGCAACAACGTATAACTATCATATCTGTGAATGTTCTGATGTAAAAATCACTGAAGATAATTGGCTCGATTGAGCGAATACAGAGGGAGAAGCAGTTACCAATGCAAAACAAGTCTTTTTCATACATTCTGAGGTCAATTTTGAAATAAGGCACTGGCGCTTCAACTCCAAAAAAGTATCTGAAACCATAAACTCATCCACACAAAATCCCGTAGGAATCAACATGAATTTTGGAAGTGACAAAAAGACCGAAAAAAATGGGCATGTGGTGGGACTTGGAGAAAAATTGTTTCGTATATTCTTCACGTTTCAATGAAGGAAATGAAGGAGTTCTTGATGGGGATAAAAAACCTACAAATAGAAAAGTTTTACGTATACTTATGTCTGTCTATGATCCATTGGGACTCCTCTCCAACTTCCTGATTTATCTGAAGATACTACTTCCAGAAATATGGAGCAGCAATATTAGTTGGGATCAACCTATCACAGATGACCAGTTCGAAAAATGGCTCATTTGGTTGAAACAACTTCCAAAAATAAAAGAAGTATTGATTCCACGATGCTATTTGAAGAATTTACAAAGTTGGGATGGAGAGACCATGCAAATGGATATATTCGTAGATGCTAGTGAACATGCTAGTGCTGTGGTAGCATATCTGAGGATTCAAGAAGATGAATGTTTGGAATGTGTTCAGTTAGGAGCAAAAACTCATGTGGCACCAATCAAACTACAGACAATACCTCGACTTGATTGAGCTCAACAGAGCAGTAATCGGTGGCAGATTTGCAAGGAGCATTCGTGAGCATCTCCCAATAAAAATACAGAAAACGTTTTATTGGTCTGATTCGATGATCGTTCTGAGTTGGTTACGAACAGATGAGCCAAGGAGTCTGAATTAATACGTTTCCTACAGAGTTGCAGAGATACAGGAAAATACGGTGATTTCCAATTGGCGATACGTACCAACCAAATTGAATATTGCAGATGAAGCAACCAAATGGAATAATCAGAATTCTTCAGAATACTCAGATAGGTGGTTAAGAGGTCCAGATTTCTTGTTTGAACCTGAAGACTGTTGGCCAATGGACTTGACTTCATATAAGTTGAATGAAGAAATAGAAGTCAAACACGAAATACTTGAATCCGTATTGGATATAAAAAAAGTACTTTTAATTCTCCAAACATTTATACACGATGGCTTACATCTATAGATTCATAAATATATTACGTACGAAATTACAGGAGGAAGTAGAACCTAGAAGTATTTTCACATCAGACGAATTGTTGAAGTCAAGAAATACTTTGATTCAAATGGCCCAGGCGGAATTCTACAAAGGAGAGATAAAGCAGCTGGCATCAATGGAGAAAGAGTCGATCCTACAACCTACTGTGAGTCGATCTAGCAGTTTATATAAATTATCACCATATTCAGATGAAGATGGACTAATCCGCATTCGAGGAAGAATTGATGCAGGAAATTCTATCGACCATGACACAAAGAGACCGATAATTTTACCCCGTGAATGCCATCTTACATCACTCGTCGTGGAAAATTATCACAGAATGTTCCTCCATCGAAATCACGAAACTGTAGTCAACGATATCAGACAATAATATTATATTTTTCAGTTACGACGAGTCGTATACAAGGTGCGAAAAAATTGCCAGACATGTAGAATAAAGTTTGCCAATCTTGTCGTACCAGAAATGTCACCACTACCAGAATGTCGACTTGCTACCTACACAGCTTCATTCACTTACACTGGCGTTCATTATTTTGGGCCAATAAATGTCACAGTTGGAAGAAGAGTGAAGAAGAGATGTGGAGCCCTTTTCACTTGCCTCACGACTAGGGCTGTGCATCTGGAAGTAGCCTATAAACTAGATGTTGACAATTGTATTCTTTGCCTCTCAAATTTCATGAATTGGAGAGGTCAGCCACGTCATATATTTTGTGATAGAAGAAACAACTTTATTGCCACAGAACGTGTTCTACATCAAGAACTCAAAAAAGTAGATCCTAACTTGATTGCCAAATCATTCATCGCTCCAGAAATATCGTTTCACTTCAACTCACCTTTATCACCTCATATGGGTGGAGCTTGGGAGAGACTTGTGAAAGCGGTGAAAATTTCTCTTTATGACGCCTCACCTTCTAGAACACCTCCTGATCCCTTGTTGCAGAGCTGTCTTATTGCAGCAGAAAATATTGTAAATTCACATGCAACTGATAATAATGATATGAACATGTGTTTTGATAAAGATTCGGAGACTCTCTGATCCAGCCAATCTATATGAATAAAGAGAATTGTGTTGTAGGTTTGGATATGGAAGTTTGAGCTAAGATGTGTTTTGTCAACATATGGTGGAAGCTAAATTGAAGGATTTCTGTATGAAATATTCGATTTTTTTTTCTGGCAGCATTATTGACAAATATAACCTACATCCAGAATCTGGAGAACTCGATGATGCTGATTACGGCGATGGTGACAGAGACGTAGACGAAGTCAAATACATCAAAAGTGAGTATTCATATACATCTCTATCTCTCCGTCGATGTTATATGCTGTCTATACTGTCACGCTATCAGGTAGTTGATTTTTTAATTGAATGTTTGAAATTTTGTCGCAAGTACGGTACTATTCCGGACAAAAATCTGATTGAATGAATTAGCGGGATATGTCTTATTCCAAATTCATATTCGATATTCTTATCATAAAATCATTGTTATGAACGAAACATCGCCATCTTCAAGTCTATAGAGGATATGAGTGAGCACCAATAATTAATGAATATTCAAT